GAGATTCACTTATTTCATCCAGGTTAGCGTTATGTTCTTCACAAGTTTGCTGCATCGCTCTTAACTGCTTGGAGACATTAGAGTTTAATATACAGATCATCCGTTACATAGGCTTATTTGTCTCTTAGTTCAAACTCCCTACTAGTACGTAGTTAGTAAATTGTAAACAGATGGAAATCCCTCTGGAAGAACCGATACCAGCCGATTAATTAAGGAATTTACTTTCTATGTGTTAATAGATACTACTCTTTAAGGCCAGATTGTATATGCTTAAATTAAAACATTTATGTTAACTAGATGGGGTGTGCGATAGACTTACCTCCACGTGGTGCACCCTGGGCAACGTATACTCATACGGCAAAAAAGTCTATTAACCGGCAGTTGACTTCTGACTTCAAACTACCATGACTCCACTATATGTCATATTTGACTACTTTCACAGTACTCACCTCACCCTTTTTCTACCTTTGTGTCCGTCTGTCTCTTTTACGTCTGTGAGAATCATTATTCTTTCCCCCCGTTGGACTTTTTGCCACTTTGATGTTCCTCTTCCTTTCTGTGAAGCCCGAAGTCAACTAAAGGGCTAATGATACCTATCACAACGCCTGCCATTTGAAATAAATAAATGTTAACTAGATTTACAATTGATTAGCGATGATTAGCGTGATAGACGCTCAAAAGGTTGCAGTTTTATTTCACTCGAATATGAAGTTTAGAAAGAAATGAGACATCTGGTATCACATGAACATGAAGCGGAACGAGGGAAATATGAACAGAATGAAACAATGAAAATAATTGCAAAGAAGTTGAGTTAATATTAAATTTCATTTCATTTGGTATGTTTATCTTTATCTTCAATATTTTCAGTTATGGAATTCGAGATGGCTTTTGAATTGGACAGTGCAACATTGAACGAATTGCCCGCGAGCATAGCAGTTGCCGTTTGACAACCATCATCTCCCCAATGTCCCAACTCACGGAACATATGAAGTTGATGAAGTTTTTCTCTACGTTTGGTGGCCAAAGCCACTTGCCAATCAGGTTGTGACTCTTCTTGAGTCTGCTTCTTGATCTGATCAATCTTTACTAATGAGGCGGAGCGATTGCAACTCATGTTTACTGAGGTGGCATTATTGGTTATAGGAGTCTTAAAGGGTGTTGGTCCACGTATGCTATTGAAGCCCTCATCGAATGCAAGGCTTACACCTTTGGTGGTAGGTGGCGTACGTTGTGACGCGTTGAGTGACCGTATATCCATGGTTTTTGAACGCTGAATTCGTCGTCTAGAATTTTGTGCTCCTGTAGCTTCTGAACGATGCTCAGTGTTGTCTAGAATCTCCTGACACAGCTGATCTTGTTCCCTTTCAACTCTCTGACACGCTTTTTGTTGTTCCAGGTTCAACTTTTCCATGTTAAGACTCAGCTGTTTGCTTGCACCTTCATTGGCATATTTACATTTCCTTGCTATTTGAGCGTTGTTTGGATGGAAGGTTATTTCCGTTTTAGGAGAATAATTGGCCGAAGGTAATGATGGTGCATCTCTTAGGCTGTTCATTATTAAAATGATTAGAGTGTGTGATACTATCACTTATCGTTATTGAATTCACACTTAAGGGGCCTGGAGGTTGCCATGACGATGTGGATAATTTATGCGAGCACATGAACAGCGATCACCCAAGATTTGGGATACAAAAAAGTCGGGTAGGTAAAAATCCAGGTTTTATTACTTATAATAAATGAGATGAATATCTGATGAGGTACCTGGAGGGGAGGTCTTTTTGCGACGCATATTTTCTTTATAAAAGGAAATGGAATTTTGTTTTTTTGCCATTATGACAGGGATGAATTCACATGCAAATTAGTCAAGGAAACAAATCTAACTGAGGAAAATAAAAGAATAATACTGTTGACGAAATGAAACGAGCATATTTGGAAAGCAATTTTCACCATCCAAGTTGTAAAACTGATTAATTTTTTTTAAAAATGAGTTCTAAATCAATAATGCCGACTTCAATCTTAAGTCCAATAGGAATTAAAATAATTAATTCCACACGATATATATAATAAATATTTATTCTAAAATATATATATATATATATTAAGTGAGGTGAGGGTCGTTTACAAGGACAATTAATGAGCGTAGTGTGACCTCATTATCTCATAGATGCCACTATTCTGCTCCCGTTAGGACAATTTTCCTTTCCGGTTCTCTATGTTTCATATATCGGGGTGTGCGACAGACTTACCTCCACATGGTGAACTCAGGGCAACGTATATTCATACGGGAAAAAGTCCATTAACCGGCAGTTGATTTCAGTCTTCAAACTACCATCACCTTACTGTGTGTCATATTCGACTGCTTCTTCAGTACTCACCATACCTTTTACTACCTTTTTGTTTGTCTCTTTTACATTTTTGAAACGCTCTGAAGTCAACTAAAGGGCAAATGATGACTATCAAGACGCCTCCCATTTGATACAATTGAATGAATAAATGTTTCATATATCTTAATGAGACATCCTTACCGAATGATCCTATCTTTTTGCTTTCCTAAATGTACAATGTACTCATTCTAGAACGCCTAATGTTTTGGTACAATTGTTTCTAAAATGGCTTTCCTTCAGGAAACAACGTTTAATTGAATTTAAGGATAATACGAATATGGAGATAAAAAGAGAAAACACGGCAAAACAGGCTATTTTTGTTCATGTGCTCTTAAACATTACCCAATTCTAGGCGGTGCCCCTTTGCAATTCCAGAGACAAGAAGTTTGTGACTACTGGAGCAATAGCGACTTGTCAAAATATATGAAGATATAATCTGCTTATTCTATAGAATTTTGAAAGGGGTTCAATGAGATTGAAACATTATGAAATGAAAACGCGGTAGGAAAGATTGGTGTAAACTAAAGTTTAAGCCACTCCTTTGGCTTTTGAGATGTTTCAACACTAACAACCCAATTAGTGGGAATTCTGGTAATAAGCATTGCGACCAGTTAATATTCACTATAGACTACTTTTGTCCATTAAATTCTCATCAAAATGATCTTTCAGAACTTTCTCATTTTCGGTTGAGAATAATTGATAAAATGATTAAGAATAATAGAACAACGATTCTGAAATTCGTCATAGTTTCTATTTCAGAGGAAAATTTAATATGTACATTTTAATCAATAGCTCTTCTATTATTAAAAAATCTATGAGAACAGAACAAATTGCTTTCATCAGTTGAAACCGTAGAATACAAAATGTTTATATTTATTTAGTAACTGGTGATGAAATTTTATTAGAAACTAGGAAGATTCGTGGGACAGCGCTATGAATTTATTCTACCTTTACCGTAAGCATAACAAGACAATTCAGAATGATCAGTTTGCTTATGACTTCACATAGAAATTGCTTAGAAAAATATTATTAAAAATTATGCGTGATAGAGCAATCTAGACGTTGAAAACACATATCATGTTTTTAATCTGATTCAAAAACACAAATAAATTATAATATCAGACAAGTTACAAATTTTTTAGTTTTCATTGGTTATGTTACTGTAAAAATAGTAAGCAAATGTTAATGACATTGAGCAGTGGTAAAATATTTCTTTCAAAGTTTATTAAGATCTCTGATAATTCTTATGAATTCTCATTAACTTTACACTATTTCGTCCAATCAAATAAATTTCCCATAAAGGGAATCTACAATTACATTTTAAAAATATTTGTTAACATCATTTTAAGTGAATTAAGACTCGTGAAACTAAATTGGAATGAAGGTGAAATACGCATTTTAATTCAAAGCTAACAAGAATGTTGTTGATTTCATCCCAATTTTAAAAGAATTAAGCCTTTTATTGATAAATAACGTCAACTTCGTTTGGCCACATACGTAAATTTAATGCAGAAATTTATTGGCTGCATGTAAGGTCGAGAATGTGATACCTTGTCTTCATTTTTACGCCGCCAAAATGAGTGAAAATTTGTATGCCCTTTATAATCAATCAGAAGACAGTCGAATTTTTTTAAGCAAGCCTCATAGAATAAGCGCTCTGTGTTCATTCGAAAATTTATTATTTTTGGGCACTTATGATGGGTAAGTTTGACTGCCTTTCATGACAATTCGTACATTGAATATCCATTTACATACATCAACGCGAATACTCTAGCTAATCCTATTTGTAGGAAGAAAGTTTTATACTGCGAAAATAGAATTTATTCATTCTACCTCTTACGTTAACTTCATATTGTGTATTATTTTCCTGTTACTTATCTTGCAGGTATCTGCTTCAAGTTATATATGATGAAACTGACGAAGAAAAGACACATTTTTCGCTCGGTGTCATTTTCGAAAATCACATATCAGTAACAACTCGTTTTTTTCTCACGGTTAATTCTTGCAGGATAGTATTATTTCTCGATTGCAAGCGTCCCGTTACGCAGAATTTGTGGCGTCTTTGTCCAATAATAAATTGCAGTTTTTCGATGCTGAAAAGTTGGAACCCTCGCCCTTGCGTTCAGAAATAGATGGTGTTTCCAGTTTTTCTGTCAGAGACAGTGACTTTTGCTCTGAATACCATAGTATTGTAGGATCCCGATATTTAACCCAAACTAGCTTCATTTTAGCTTGCTGTATGTACAATGAATCAACAGCTTCAAGTCTACCGCGTTGTTAAAGCTCGAATGGATTTAGTAAACACCATTAAACTCTCCTCTGTGGCTCTTGATGTGGTATGCTTTATTTCGTCGTTTTTTTATCGAACATTTTTGCAGTTTTGTGTGGATAATTTTGCAGTTATCGCTTCGAGAAAACACTACATCGGAATTGATCTCAAAACAAAGACCTCTCAAGAGATTGTTGCTCGAACAGGAAGTCTTGCCAGGCCACTTATTAATATCTTTTCTGAGGACGAATTTCTACTATCTGGTCCTGGTTCTTTGGGCATCTTTGTGAATACTGTCGGACAATCCAATCGGCCACCTCTTACCCTTTCTAATAACCTCCTTGCTCTATTTTCTCAAAAACAGTTTGTTTTCGCTGTGGATGACGAATTTCTTACAATACATAGCGTTTCCTTGGGAAAGCAGGTTCAAACTCTAGTTGTTCAGAATGCGTCTTCTGCTTGTATGTCATTGGACAGGAATGTTATCTTTATTGCCTCTCACAATCCAACCACCGATACTTCTCAAATTCATGTTGTCCAACCAGAAACCTGGGATTTGGTAGCCAGACGTCTTATATCATCTGGGTGTCTTTCTGAAGCAACTAATCTCCTTACTAGTGAATTCACTAAATTAGTCAATCTCTGCAATGAGAGACCAGCTACTAGTGGTTATGCAAAGAAGATTTTTAATACAGTAGGTTCAGTATCTAAATCCTCGTTTCATTTGTTTAGCGTTCGAAAAGAGTGTATACTCTAATGGGGCTCTACCTATTTGAAAATGGTCAGTTGACCCAATCTCGGGAGTTTTTTGAAAAGTCTTCTTTAGATATTCGAGAGGTATACTGATATTTTATTTTATCATCTTATTTCCAGTTACTGAGCCGATATGTTGATTTGCTTCCTCGGGGGTATGAGTTCACGGCTGATCCGGCTCTTTACATCACAGCTTCCTCGAAAGCCATTCCAGAATGCGTTCCTTCAATGAATGAGGGTCAACCACCCCCTTGCAATATTTATAATTTAGCAGAAACCACAGGGGTTTCCGTCACTGAGTTTCGTAGATTCCTTCTCAATTTCCTTCTTGAAAATCGACGAGGAAGAATATTTGCCCAATACAGTCAAGTGAGTTTGATTGCTTGCACGTTTGAATTGTTACTTTACTCGATAATGCTGTCACTTTCTTAATAGTATTATTAGAATATAAGTTGCCTCATGTTTCCGTTTCGACAAAACTAATATATTTATTTAGGTCGTAACCGTCTTTATTGAGAATCACTTAGTCCTTCACTCTAATGATGGCGTAAATTGCCATTTTAATAACATATACTCAGCAATATTCTGATTGAAAAGCTTATAACTATCAATGATAGATATGTTTACATGATTGATAGCAAATAGCTGTGGTTGTCTTTTCCCTAGTGGAGCGTGGTTGGTATCAGTGTACTCATATAAACATTATTCTATTAAGCAATAATTGTTAGTGAAAAAATGCGAATGTTTCACAGATCACTTCAACTTTAAAATAAAAAAGGCAATTTCTAATTCATAAAATTTACTAGAACCCTTTCCTTTGTTCCTACGTAGTTACATTTGAATCCATCTATTACAAAACAAGCAATGTTAAAGGCTTTACAATTTCCATTGTTTAATGTATTTGATACTTACTAAATAAGCAACATCGTTAACCTGAAAATATCCATGTCTAAGCTCTTTTATTTGTTTTCCTTTTGATTTCCTAACTACCCATCATTAGTGAACTTCTCCCGACTCCGTTGTCACATCCTCTGCTTCATCATCGATTTTCGATGTCGGTTTGGTTGTGTTCATTACACTGAGAACTTTACCATCACCGATTTTCTTGATTCGCCATTGTTGACTTGCAATTCTATCAGGAGCTCTAAAAGGAGTTTTTGACCTTTGGTTCACTTTTATCCCTAGCAAATGTATCACCTTGTCAACTCCACTTATTGTAACGGCTCTATGACCCCATAGAGATTGTGGCAGCTGGACTCCCTTATGCCAGCCTTCTAGGTGTTCACCTCTTTCTGAATTAGCTGTAATTTGACTCCTTGAATCTGTTTCATCTTCGGTGTCAGCTAGGGCCATCCAGATTGGTGAACTAGTGTTACTTCTTACAGAGATTTCTTCATCAATCTGCTGATGGTGTTCTTGTCCCTCAATCCGGCGTATGCTTCCAACCCAGGGCTTCCAAGATTCCACACTTCCTGTACAGAAAGTCTCCCCTCCACCACCAATACAGTAGATTTCATCTTCCAGAATACAAGTTGCAAAGTCAGCTCTTTCTGAAATTGGTGGCATAAGCTCCCATGTACCATCTCCTGGAGTCAATCTCTCCACGGTACTACCATATCCCATTGTCATAAAGCTGGTAGAAGCTCTAGCATTTGAATCTCCACCTCCACCTAAGACAAATAAGTGATTCTGGAAAGCTACGGCGCTGGCAAAGTATCGAGGTTGTGACATTGGCTGGATAAGGGTCCATTGATTTGTGTCTGGGTTGTAACTTTCACAGCTATTTGTCAGGGATTCCATTCTACTCTCCGTATAACCTCCGCAGACGTAGATCAACGGACCTACAACGTCACCAGCTGCAGCTGCTCTAGGAATGATCATACTCGCAACTTCTAACCATCCTGTAGAGTTTCCATTTTCCAAAGGTAGTGCTTCTACACTGTCTAGCACTTCTCGGTTATTGTCTCCTCCTATTGAGTAGAGAGTCTTGTTGCGATAGTTCACTAGGACAAAGTCTCTTCGAATGTCGTGCATTGGAGCACAGCCTTTCCATCCACTTTTGGTAGATTTGATTTCATATCGAAGAACTTCTTGCGTTGCTTGTCCACCCCTACTCTCCCCGCCTGCTATGTATATCACTTCATTCTTGATATTTGCAATGGCAAAACTCATGAGGGGATGGGGCAAAAGGAGGTTTGGTCGAGAGTCTGTGTCGTAGGTTTTCCACACCTTTTGACGAGTATCCAATACTCTGACTCGTCTTGACGGTTGGTCACCCTCCCAACCACCAAATACGACTATGGCCTCATGAGGTATTCTATAGCTATCCTTAGGCGGATTACGTTCATTCTGTCCTGATTGATTGGATAGGGAGCGAAGATTCCTAGTTTCTCGGATTAATTTTCGCTTCTGATGATTCAGTCTGAAGACACACTGACTTCTAGATTCATCACTCTTTGTCTGCATTCCTGGGAGTTGCAAAAGACGATCGATTTCTCGTATTTCTAATAGTTCAAAACGGACACAGCTTTGAATTAAACGAGGAACTACTCGTGACAAGAATTTTCCCACATCAGGATTGTTGTTGGACTGTTGAGCCTGGATCCACGTTTCAATAATCTTTATGACTTCGATTTCCGAGCGGACATTCAGTTTATTAGATGCTAGAATGAGTTCTAATTCGGCACAACTGAAATGTTTCAGTTCCTGCAAGAAAATTTCGCTCGTAAACTTGCGGAATTTCTCCTGCATAAAGTCTAACAATATTTCCCCAGCTGTCTTATCAACCTGATGTATAATTCTAGTTGTGGGCTGTTTAGAAGAGGTGATGATGGATTTCCAGTGGTCCCAACAGCTGTCTATGTTCAAATTCGCCTTTAAATACTGAATACATTGCTGATGAAGATTTTCAATTCCATAAGTACTAGCCACTCGTAATCCACATGTTAGACTACATTCAGCCATTGTAGGAGTTAAACGTAATTGATTTGTGCTTAGAAGAATCAAGCTCGATTCCTCCTCTCGTCTTTTTACTGGAGGTGTTGCTACTCTGTCACATTCTATTCTGATTGATATTTTACACTGACCAATATGGCAGTAGTGGACAGCTAATGCCAGGTCATCAATATCTCTTCTGCGGAAACATTCAATTAGCATTGGGGGAGGTTCATTGACTGTATATTGTTTATGTTGGTGTTTATTCATATCAAGCTCTTTGATCAATCTTCGAAATGTAGTGCTTTGGGTTGCAAGCTTGTAGGCATTAACAAGCAGTTTTTGCCCTCCTGAAGTTAATCCCAGATGTCTATTCAGGGCCCATTGCATTGCATAGCCTGAAAGGAGGTTTGGTGGCAGAGTAGAGCATCCTTCTTTCCATCTTGGTTTATTTTCATTTATAATCGGAGGAAAAGGTTGATTTATGCTTCCCATAACACTGCTACTATTGTTCCCTTCCATTAAACGGGTGGCTAGCTAAATGCTATCGATTTTTTACAGCTGACTAATTAACTTCGCGTGTTGTCTAGCTTGTAGAGACAGCAATACTGAAATTATGTGTACAGATTTCGGAAGGTAGTGAAAATATCTGTTGTGAGGAATATGGGAGCTGGAGTGAATTGGTGGAATCCCTGTCGAGCGTGCATTTTGAGGATCTAAAGCTCTTTTTGGATGAAACCCGTGCCTACCATGTTAAAGCTCTGCTCTCCAGGTGGAACTGTGATGTCGAGGAAGCGCTTAAAATTTGGAAGAGGTGGGGAGTTGAATGTGACTTGAAATTTGTCCCTTTGTTCCTAAAGGTTGTAACTAGGTTATTTTTCGTTACAGCTTGGCTCTTGGTGTTCTCGTGGATAAGCATTTTCCCGGTTCAGATTATTACATTGACGCTCTCTTTTCGTAAGTTAGCGGATTCTTTTATTTGGGCTGTGTATTCATCGAAATATCTCTTTTAAATTCGTTTGAATTCTGCTTTTAGTAAAATTGGTCTTAAAACATGTCAGAAAGCAAGTGGTTAGGTAGATTCCGGACTTTGCACTGTAGATTGAGCTTGGAATTCCAATAAACATCAAGTCTTCATTAATTTATCAGTCTTCCATTGGTCTAACGAATTTGTAGTGAGAAATACTGTCCTTTTCAATCTGGACTAATTTAGTGGCTACGAAACGTCAACTCCATCTTAGTTTCAAAATTTATTGAACATGAGTAATGGTGTATTCTTTTATTCTGCATTGGTTTATTGGCCGTTTTGTTTTCCTTCTTTCTAGAGCTCTCACCTCACCCACAGCATTCCGTGGACACAGTATTTCTACTGCATTCAAAGCTGTGTCTACCGTTCCACTTGGAACTTTTGTAGGTTATACCGTGTATGCGGAGATCGTTGCTCGCCACTTAGACGGCTTTCTAGCCTCTGCGGAGAGCCTTCCGCTAGCAGATGCACTGATTCGTCATCTTGCTTGTATCACTTCGTGGAATGGTACTGGTAGTTCCAGCCATCCAACTGCATCTACTTTGTCTACGAATGAAGAGTTTGCGCTGTCGACTGATGCCTTGATCAATTGTCTTCTTCCACGGTATCCTGATTTGGCTGAGAACTATCTCTGGTTGAGGATTTTTAAGGCCGGTGATAAGGTGATCTTGAACTAATGTAACATTTTGGTAACTACCTAAAGAGGTCTTGAATATTCCATCACGAAAACATGCAATACTATGAACTTGACTGCCCCATCATTTTTTTTTAATCAACAAAAGATGTACTAAATTAGCGTGTGTCAAATAACACTTATCATTTGCTCAAATTTAATTCTTCCTAATACGTAAAGTTAATGAATTCAAATGGCAGGCGTTATGATAGGTATCATTAGCCCTTT